ATTCATGCATACCAAACACTACTTCAGAGAAAATAAATTAAGTAAAGAACTTACTTGTTCTAGTTGGCATCGGCCTTCTCCTTAACTTCCTGTAATTTTTCTTGACCCATAAGACTTAGTAACTTCTTGCTGTGGTCCCTCCCCTACAATCAATATGTTGAAACTCGGACAATGTCTACACATAAAGGACTTGCAACCCTGTGTGTGACAAGTGTAGAACTTTCTTCCCCTTTTAGCTTCTGTGTTGGCATTTCTCAGAACACAAGGTTCACCACAAGTAAATGCAAGGAATTGGCGTATCTCCTGCATTGCCAAATTTCCATATTACCCTTTTTATCCCAAAACTCAAGAGATAAGATAGTGGGCTAAAATTAAACAAAAAAAAATATTACAAAAAACAAAATCCCAAATATGTAAATCCTTTTTTAGTGTTCAAAGGAGGTGTCTCGATCTCTTGACCATGCAAAAGACATAATAAGACCATGGATACAAAACTTGAAATCAAAAAACCCAATAAATACCTCCTGCTGCACCTTCATCTCTTTGTTCAGTTAACCCTTCCTTGGCATCTCTGAATCAGGAATAAGGACATATGCGATTGGAAATGAGTTGCCACTTTAATCACACCATTGGCTTAAAATTAAATGCAACAAGATAGCAACATACTTTGATTTAATTCTGTAGCATAACCAATTGGGTCCTACTGGATGACTTTGGAAGAAAGCCTCTTTAGATGCAAGTGTATCATGTATTCCAAGATTAAGCTTAATATCCTGTGAAAAATAGAGATGATGTTAGAAGATTATTTGTATACTGTTCAGAAACCTTTCTCAAATCAAACTTAAATAGGTTTCAAAACATGAAATGCACAAGCTTAAGAGTTACATCTTGACAACGATTGACAACACCAACATAACTAAGTTTAAGAGGAATTGTTTTGCCAAGCAAAAGATTACAGGCATCAGTGCCTCTGTCCATGATATCCAACTGTAGTTACAGAGACAAACAACTGCTGATTATGATATGCCTTACAATGAAACAACAAAAAGTTCACAAAAGAGAAGAAGAAGAAGAAGAAGAAGAAGAAGAAGAAAAAGAAGAAGAAGAAAAAGAAGAAGAAGAAGAAGAAGAAGAAGAAGAAGAAGAAGAAGAAGAAGAAGAAGAAATTGTTGACCTTTGTAATTACACCAATTGTACGATAACTTGAAAAGAAAGGGTATATAAGAGTTTAAGAATTAGAAGAAAAAGAATACATTAACAAAGCATAGTATATTTGATAATTACCATCAGGATCAGCAATCCCTACCATTTGAAGTGCATCTGAATTTGCCAAATCTGAATTTAATTTTTCATTATTTAACGAAACAAAGAAGTGTTGTACTAGTTTCTTGGAGTGAGTACAATATCAGCAAGAAGAGATCCATGAGGTCCCCAAGTCTTATTGCTAGTAGCATCAAGAACCAATGAAAGCAAAGATTAAAATGTTAATAATGTGAGGTAAATGATTCAAAAAAATATAAATGAAAAAGGGAAAGAAAGAAAGTTACCTTATGTTCCATTGAATGAACTTTAAGAACTTTCTTGTTAACTCCTCTTTTACTGTATGGAATCAATTATAAGATCAAACATCATGAGGGCATAAAAAATTAATTACAATCTACTGGATTAGAAATTGAACTTACACGTCCTAGACAGTTTGATCAAAAGCCATTTTCATTGTCCCCAAGAAGCATGCAAGCACTCTTCAACTGAAACTATTCATGGAAATCAAGAGACTACTCATATCATAGTCTACCACTAACCAAACAAATTGTATTATAAATTAAGATTACAACAATTTATAAGAAAATACCAAAGAGGCATATACTATGAATGTTTAGAACATCAATATATAGCTTATCTAATAATGATTTATTAAAATACTTAAATATTTGATACCTTTCCTTGTCCAGTACATGAATGCTTAGTCCATAACTGCACTTATAAGTGGATCCTAAAACAAGGAACCAAATTGCTACCTGTCACAGTAGGTATTATCATATTATTCATATACTGAGATACTCAAAGGTTAATTTATCTCTATGAACTATGGGTCTAGACATTATGGAAATCATGATTACTATCGTTTTGAAATTAAGCCCCTTTTTAAATGCCTACACCCAATACAAAATTCATATCAGTTTATATCTAAAACAGAATCCATATGATAATTTATATAATCCAAAATATTACAATCATCAGGAGGTAGAAATTAGGGTTAAGATGATAATCAATATCAAAATTCTTATTGACTACACACTAAAAAAATCATAGAAATTCATCCAGAGAGACTGAGGGCTTTAAACTCTAATAGAAAAAACAAATTGTGTGTAGACAACGAGAAAACCCTAGCAAAATCAAAATTAAGGAGTTTAGGAATGTAGAACTTAGAAAAACGAGTTGTGATTTGTGCTAAAAATGAAAGAGGAGTATATGGAAATAAAACTTACACACTACTAGAAACCAATATAGAAGCTGATGAAGACTACTTTAGGTTTGCACAAGTTTATGATAGAGGATATCCAACTGATCGAATGGCGTTGGCATGGAAATGGCGAGTCAACAACGAAGGTAGAAGGACAACATGAAAGCCAACGAGGATGTGATTTCTAAGGTTTTCCTATACATCAAAGAGAGGCGATGCAGGTGGATGGTGGTGGAGCTGATTTCCCGGGCGGAGGAGGGATTCGAGTCGACGGGGGTTCGATTAGGGCTTTGGGAGAAAATTGTGTAGAGTTTTGAAAGATATCAGAGGGACGGAAAATAAAAGCGTGGAATGAGAATAAAACGATGGAACGAAAATAGAAAGAAAAGCGGGGAATAAAAAAAAGGAGTCTTCGATTTTCTGCGACCGATTGGCGAGGGGAACAAAAAAAAGGTCGTGTAATTTTTAGGAATCGGTCGTTGTTCCCTCGCTAAGAGGTTTTAATTTTGCGACGGATTATCGAGGGAAGGATTTTGTCGATAAATTCTTACCAATCCGTCTTTGATCGCTCGGTAATACCTATCTAAAATTCTGTAAGGGTTTTGGTTGAAATATTTGCACGTTCCGTCACTAATACTTACCTAGGGATAGAATCCGTCGCTAATTTCATCGTTGAAAGTCAGGTTTCTAGTAGTGTATTCATATCGTCGGATCGAATGGTAAATTTCAATACAATCATTTTTCTTTATGTGATTTTCTAATGCAAAAATATTTATAAAAAAAAAAAAAAGAAATCCACGTACTTTTAGTTATGTTACAATATTATTTAAGAAGAAAAACAACTAAAAAACTTATTTTTCATTGTAACCTTATTTGGATTTTGTTGGGGTTTTTAATCTGCTTAATATTTTTGTATCTTTGTAAATAATTATTTCATTGATTATAACTAATTAATGTATAGAACATAATTAAATCCTACAATATTACATATAACATGAGAAATTCGTATAAGAACAAATTTTATTCCTATAGGCCTACTAAAACATGCTAACAGAAATATATATCAAATGGTTTTCTCGATATTGAAAATAAGAACTTCTCTTTCAAACCTGTCATCATTTTCTCAATTTTATTGGTTCCATGAGATTTTTTAATGCCAAAAAGATTCAAAAGAATTTCATACATATAGTTATTTTGCAATATTATTTTCAAGAAAATAACTAGAAAACATATTTTCAATTGTAACCTTATTTGGACTTTATTTAGCTTTTAAATTCGCTAATTTTTTTTTTTTAATCTTTGTAAATAATAAATTCATTGATTATAATTAATTAATGTATGGAGCAGAGTTAAACCATACAATGTTGCATATAATATAAGAAATTCGTATAAAAATAAATTCAATTACTATAGGCCTACCAAAACATGCTAATAGAAAATATGCCAAAAGTTTTTTGGATATTGGAAACAAAAAGTTCACTTTCAAACCTCTGTCAACGTTATCTCAATTGTATTGGTTGCATGAGATTGTTTAATGACAAGAAGATTTACAAAATATTTCATACTTTTAATTAATTTACAATATTTTTTTCAACAAAATAACTCGAAAACACATTATCCATTGTAACCTTATTTGGACCTTACTGAGTTTTTAAGTGGGATTTTTTTTTGTCTAACTAAATAATGAATTCATTAATTATAACAAATTAATGTGAGTAAAACCATACATTTTATTTACATATAATATAAAATTTTTGTATGAGAATAAATCCAATTCCTGTAGACTAACCAAAACATACAAATAGAAAATGTGGATTATTTTCATGCAATTGGAAACAACAAATCTTCGCCTTTAGCTTATAGTCTTGCTAACCTATAATTGTTGTATTGAATGCAAACAACAACAATGTATTCTGTTAAAAAAACACTTACAAAATAGAATGTTGTAATAGTAAAAATAGAAACGTAACCAACCAATATAAAAAAGCATATTGTAATTTCCAACATATAATCCATAAGGCTAAAATTTGTCATTTTTTTTCTTATTTATAGATAAATATATTTCTGTCAAGTCTTTACGTTTCTTCCTTAAAGCACGCTTCATCAAAATTTGACACAAAAGTGATGTGTTGCTCAACTTTTAAAAATAAAGATAATAAAAGAAGTTAAAAATTAGTGACATAAGCAAAGAGTTGTAACTTTGATAATTAATGGATTCAATGTATTTCAACTTTATAGATTTTAATGGATTGCCAATGTATTTTTTTACATTCTAAAGAATTCAATTAATTTTTTTTCAATGCATTCAATTCAATAAAATTTAATAAAACATTATAAAAACTAATTTATAGTATGTATTTAATATTAAAAAATTTGATTTTTCCTATTGAAAAATTTAATAATCATTAAACTACAAATCCATTGGATGTTAAGGTGGCTCTATTATAGATGCTCTTACATGTGTTGTGTTGACAATGGTTATATATATATATATATATATATATATATATATATATATATATATATTATAATTGTTGGACTTTTAAAGTGAGATTCGATTCACCAATTTGTATATAAGAAAGCCCAAAAGCTAGATACCATTCGTCAAATACTATATGCCTTAAACCACAACAATGAAAGTTTTCATTGTATTTGTCCTTCTCATAGTTATTATAAGCCGATCTGTTTTAGGTATTCGTGTAGCCACTAAATTTCAAACTCCGGGTACGTTTAAGCAGTACAACATTTCGATCAACGATGAGGGACTTTGGGCACTTGGATTCGAATGTCAATTAGAAAATGGAGAACAAGAATTCCATCTGATCAATCCTGGAGATGAATCTATTATTGAGGTTCATGTTGAGGACAATGATGTTACGTCTGTTCCTTGCCTTTTCTATTGGTCTAAAAAGGATAGGAGTGTTCATGTCTTTGACCAAAGCCTAAAGAAACACTGTGGCGATGATTTGGTTAATACATGTAAGTGGAAGATATCAAGTGATGCCTTTTATATTTACGATGTGAGTCAGGATCCACCAGATTTTGTAAAAATATATGATTGGTGATTTGGTTTTGTTACTGGTGAAACTATAAATGATATGGAATTTATTTGTTAAATACATGTGGGTGAATTGTATAAGTAATGTGCATCAAGTAATGTTTATATAATCTATTAAAATGAAATGGGTTTGTTATTTTATTGCTCCATTTAAAAGCAATACATGTTTATGTAATATAGTTTCTCATAGATTTGGTTTTTTATTACCCTCTTTATGTTCTGATGTATCATTTGTTTATGCTCAATGTATCCTTTTTTTTTTTTTTTTTTTTTTTAATTCACTTTGTTTACCCGAAAACTTCTTTTACATTTGTTCTTACTGCTCTTGGATTATGGTTAATTTGTTTATGCAGATTGTTTTTCATGTTGTTCTCCTACCTTCCTATACTGATTTCTCAATTACAAATAAAATCAATATTTGATTTTTTACAATTTAGTCTCATCTGATTCAAGTATGGACTACATATCAATTTTTCTAAATAAAATGGCTAATAGATTTGGTGAATTAATGTTTTCTTATTGTCTAACAATTGCTTGGCTAAATGCCTAGAAGATAATTGACAGGCCTAAATTTGGCAAGACTACTATACTGATTGATAAGAGTCATGATGCTAAACAATATGCATGTTGAAGTCGGGAGACTACATTGACGAGGTAATTTTTATGTTAAATTATGTTACATTAGTATTGATGCCTCTATGATGAGCCTAATGTTTTCGATTGCAAAATGTAAAAAAAAAATTATATTGTTGGATATCATAATAGGTAAAAGCATGAATTCTTTGGTGATAGAATGGAATTGAATGAGAAAAGATCATTTTTTTTTGTTGATGGGATGGAATAGATGTTACTATTTATTCCATCATTGAATCGAATGTTAAATTTCAATACCACACGTTTTTATTTATTTGATTTTGTAATGACGACAAAAATTCAATAAAGTCACGTAATTTTAGTTATGTTACAATATTATTTTCAAAAACGTAACTACAAAGCATATTTTCCATTCTAACCTTATTTAGATTTCGTTGAAGTTTTTATCTACTTAATTTTTTTCATCTGTTTAAATAGAAATTCAATGATTATAGCTAATTAATGTATAATGCGGAGTTAATCCATACAATATTACATATAATTTGAGAAATCTGTATAAGAATAAATCTAATTACTATATGCCTATCAAAACATACTAATATACAATAATCGATAATTTTCTGGAAATTTAAAACAAAAAACTTCACTTTCAAACCTCTATCAATATTTTCTCAATTCTATTGGTTGCATGAGATTTTTTGATGACAAAAAGATTAAAAGATATTCCATGATTTCAGTTATTTTACAATATTAATATTTGTTTTGAAAATAACTACAAAACACATTTTCCATTGTAATGTTATTTGGATTTTATTGAGTTTTTAAAATCATTATTTTTTTTATCTAAGTTTTATTTTTTAACAGCAAACCTAATCTACTTTTAAGCTACTTTTAACATTTATCTAAATTTACAAAAATACTTGAACTTTCAACATTTAAGAGGAGGACAATACTAGATATCATTGGATTAAAAACTCTTTGATTATAATAAATCCATTGATTATAACTAATTAATGTATAGAACGGAGTTTAACCATATAAAACATACTAATAGAAAATATGTGGATAATTTTCATGCAACTAAAAACAATATATATATATATATAGAGAGAGAGAAAACTAAGTTCATGTAATCTAATTATTTATTGTGTGGATGTAAAAATGATTGTAAGCGTATCATTTCAAAAACCTAATAAAGGGTATTTTAGTAATCTTAAATTATAATCAATAATTTAATTAATTGAATGAAATATTTATGCCCTATCACTACAAGTCGTTACCTTGATTTCTCTCAAACCCTACTTATCAATCCTAAAATCATCGAGAATCCATATCTCCTCCACCCCATTTGATGAATACTCATATTCCTCATTGATGTTCTGCCTCTTTGTTTAGGAATCCGCAAATAGATATTTTGTTTCAGGGGTCTTCTAGATATTGTCTATTGTGTCGATGTCGATCAACTGGTGGGACGTCAGAGTAGTACATCGGTCATTGGAAAACCCTAGTTGACAATGTGCTACTTCTTCCACGGTCAATTGTGCCTCCAAGGCTGCACAACTAGTGCTTCTTCCATCATAGGGGAGCGTAAATGGTGGTGATTTTAGGGGAATAAACTTCTTTGGCTACCTCACCTTACAACCCTATAAATGTGTAAGGTACAACCTGGACATGCATCAACCTTAATGTAAAAATAATCTATTTCGTCATTGTGATAAGCACCAGATGTAACCGAATCTGTTCCATCATTCCAAACATCGTATATTTATTTTCAAACATTCTTGATTTCTTTTTAAAAACAAGAAGCATGGTCATCTTGTCAATTTCTATTGCAATTTTTCACCTTCAGACTATATGTTTATTTGAGAAACTTCTTAAATTATAACATGGTGTGGCCTCTTGTAATTAAATTTGGATACACAACCAGATTCCCATGGAACAAGTTAATCACAGGATCTAAAAACATTGATTGTCAAGGTCAAGCACTTCATGATAACAAAATAAGAAGCATTAGGATGGAGGTTAAATCGAACTATAAGGTTATATTGTAATAAAAGATCATAGCTCTCTGAAAATGGCAGCATGTATGGTCTATAAACACGATCTTCTGGATAGATGAAGCATGTGTTTACATCTTTACTTCATTCTAAGGCGGATCCCCCATTACATTGCAACATTTGGATCACAACACACACTCATTATCTTGTACTTATTCAGATTGTTCCCGTCCCATTAAGATCGGGTTTATTATTCTTAGTTACTATAAGTGAAGTTTTTAAACAAATTCTTATAAATATTAAGTTTTTTATACAAAATGTTGCCATCTTTTTAATAACTATTGGTTTTTCTTTTTCATGTCATATTGCTAGAAAAAGTTGTCTTATTGTTTCTTATTTAAAGATAAATATATTGTTGTCAAATCTTTAAGCTTTCTGCTTGCAACATGGTTAGTCAAATTTTTATGTTTTCCTCGAGTTCTAAAAATAATAGCTATAAAAAATTGATGAAATAGTGACAGAACTAAAATGTTGTAACTTTAATAATTAGTGGTGATGTCAATCGAATGATCTGCATACCTTGATACATATTTGTTCACAATTGTTTTATTAAATTTGGTTATTACCACGTACATCTTTTATTTTTTGGTATATAAATTAGGATCTAATCACAGTTAAATGTAAGTATATAACTTCATAACTGTTTATTAAATTTGTTGTTTATATTTTCTTGAATCTCTTCCACCTTTAGATGTTGGTTTAGTGTGAGTGAAATGTATAATACAAAAATAAATAAAAGTACAATCTTGTTTCTTAGATTTAGTCCTTTTTTAAAAATATTATAATGTTAGTTCTTCTTTCAAACCCAACTCAAGCTTTTGTCCAATAAAGTGACAACTGATTTTGATGTGTTTGGTACGCTTTTGAAAAACCAGGCTTTTGGCTATATTAATGTCACACGATTATCACATTTTAATGGAATCGGTGTGATGTTGGATACTTGTAGTTCATCAGGTACGCAACTCAGCCAAACCAATTCAGAACATAATCTCGTCATAGATTAGTATTCAGCTTCGGCTGGAAAAAAAAAAAAAAAAAAAAAAACTGTTTGTTGTTTCTTAGATTTCTATGTTATAAGATTGCCTCGAAAGGGAATAAAGTAACCACTGACTAAATGTCTTATTAAAGGACATGCAGCCCAGTCAAAGTCATAGAGGGTTTCAACATGGTATTTTTCTTTATTGTTGAAGAATAAGCGTTTATGTATCGTGCATTTGAGATATTGTAAGACATGAAGAGCAATCTAATAATGATCCTTGGTTGGTGTTTGATTGAATGGACATAGAAACTGAAATGTGAAGGAGAAATATGGTCTACTATGCAGTAGAAAATTTAGCTTTCCGACCAATTAACTATATATAGAAGGATCTTCTAATATTGCATTTTTGGAAGAGAAAAGAAAAGTTTGATTGTAATGGAGCTGAACTGGTTTTGCATATGTTAAGGAATTTGCTGCTAAGAGTTCTCGTATGTATTTCTATTGATGAATCACCATGCCAGTGCTTATATAATTGAACTCCAATCCCAAGAAAAAAAATTAATTTTCCTAAATCTTGATCTTGGAAGTTAAATCTAGAAACAACTTGAGTTATTCAATTTGTACATTATCATCACTAGTGACTAAGATGTCATTAACTGTGACAACTCAAAAAAAATTTCGTCACGATAACCCGTTCCCATCAGCGAAACCCGTCTATTTTTCAATTTTTTCCGCTAACATTTCCGGTTAGGCCATTTAACTTGAGACTTTTATAATGACCTCGTGAGTGTCCAAACCCTTTAGAAACACATGAAAATGCCCCAAATTATTATTTGGAAAACTTTTAGTTTCGACCGCATCGGTTTACAGTAACTTAATCGGGTATGATCAAAAGCCCCGTTTAACGTCGGTATCGTGAAGAATTCCACCGAACCCCAAACCCGAACCATATCTAAGGTTGAGTGGGCTTCATTTGAAGCTTTTGCACTCTGTCTCTACTCTCTCTCTAAAAACTCAATCTTGGATCCAAAATCACCCATTTCAAGCCCCAAATTGGTATGTAATCTATCCTAACTCATAGTATAACATCTTTAGCCTTCAAATTCATGTTTAAACTATGAAATAGGACCATAAACTTGAGTTTACGGCCCTGGAACACCCTTGGGACACAAAATCATACAAATGGGGTTTTTGAGCCTTAAAACCCTGCCAAACCACATTTGGAGCTTAGATACGACTTGGGGGCTTACCATACTGGACTTAGAACACCAAAACCTTAACATTTGAGGGGTAAACATGAGTTGACTACCCAAGAACATGCTTGGGCCGTAAACACCAATTCATGAGTCGTAAACACCTTCTAAGGTGTTAAGATGCCCCTTGAACACCTCCTAAGCCTTGAAATAAAGTTTAGAAGCAACCAAAAATGAGTTAGGGACCTTAAACCTAATAGAAACCACCCCCTAAGGAGTTCACGACTGTAAACCCCCCAAGGATGGGTTACTGGGCCGCAAACTCCTATAAATGGGTCAAATGATGCCTTAACTTCATCCTATGATTTGTATATTGAGCTAGAAACTCTTGTGATTGACCTAGGACCACCAAAACACCCTTTGAATGACTTCCTAAGACTTTACGGCTGTAAACTCCTAGTTTACTGTCGTAAACTCCTCAAATGGCCCCTATGATGTTCACATTACATTCCAATGCCTTAAAACCAAGCGTAGCATTAACCCACAAGAGTTGCAAGACAATTTAGCACCCTAGAACACTCCACCATGAGTTTACGCCCGTAAACTCATGGGGAGTTGGTCATTAGGGCCGTATAATCCCTTAGGAGTTTACTCTTGAAGAGTAAACTCCATATCCAAGCCATACATATCCATAGATGCCAACCGGGTCACTCCAAACACTTGAAATGAAGTGTTTCCGCGACTAGAAGTGTATATCCTCAAATAACTAGTAGTACAAAGCCTAATTAGATACAAATGTATATCTTTTCATATTACATAGGAACCTCGCACGCGTTCAAGCCCCGAACAGACATTTAGCATCCAAACAGACACATTCCGCGACTGGTGAATTCATACCCCTACTCTTTTCCATGTTTTTCAAATGTTTTCAGGGGGGAATACAAGCAAAAAGTACAAGGAAATCTTGTACTGAAACCTTTTATTTCAGTTTAATTGTTCATATTCTATATGCTTTTTAATATCGAAAACCGTATTGACCAATAGTTCGAATTGCAGAGTTAGCTTTCATACTAATTGTAGATTTCTTTATAAAATGTTATAATTTATGATTCATTTTATAATCTTACGAAAGATTCACACTAGTCATAAATTATAATTAATACTAATAAGATACGCCTATGGAAAGTAACAGAACGAATACGAAAGTACGCCTTTGGATGACACCAAGACTTCGGAAATACAGCTAGTGTACACCTTGAGTGTCACCACACTTTCATAATTAATTCGAAAGTACACCTTTGGATATCGACAGAGTTTCGAAAACATACGCCTTTGGATGTCGACAGAGCTTCGGAAATATGACTACAGTACGCCTTTGGAAGTCATCAGAACATCGAATATACAGCTAATGTACGTCTCTGAGTGACTCCTAAACATTCGAAAATACAGCTAAGTAAAGTAGATAATCGACATTCGAGTGTAGGATAACCGGGATACCAAAATACCTAACGAATACGACAAGTATGATAGATACTAGTACATAGCATTCCGAACCAAGAACTAACCACAACTTTTACGAAAATAATGGTTTTTCCTTGGATAACGAACTGTTCCTAATCAAATTGTAGAATAAACAAATAACTAACTCACATATAGGAAAATAAGTGTTTTTCCTGGGATAACGAACTGTTCCTAATCAAACTGTAGAATAAACGAATAACTAAATCACGTATAAGAAAATATAGGATTTTCATGGATAACAACTTTTTTAGAAAAACCAAAGGAAACCTGTTCTTTTACAAAAATAAACCGCTTATGAACTCACCAGCTTTATGCTGATTTTCAAACTGCTTGTATTCTCAGGTCCACATTCGACAGGTACACGACGATCTTTTGGAGAAGACGGAGCGTATAGAAGACACG